TCGTTAAATACAAAGTGCATCATAGAAAATTAAAATATTTTTATTTTCAGTAAGTATGACATGTAATAAAATATACATACTCGTATGCCATTTACTATTTAGACTAAAAATAAATAAGGTCAATAAAATTACATAGACAAAATCATAAAAAAAAAACAATTCCAAAAATTAACTTAAGTCTTTTTTCTCTGGAACCAAAGATTTATTAATTATGTAATTAATGGTCATTACTACATAAAACATTGAAAACCTATATATTATCGAATTTAATCAAATCATTTTCAGATTTATTTTTAAGTAGCTGGGTCACTGTTGTAGGGGTGTAATTGACAGGGAATAGAAAAAAAAAATATATACAATTAAAAATTGAATGGTAATTTTTTTTTTTTAACTTTGTCTTTTGAGTTCGAATAAACATATGTTGATAATAAATTTAAGTTGAATAAAAATAAATTACGACAGTATGATGTATCTTTCTTTAACATTATATAGATATAACTTAAAATAATTTAAATATTATTAAAATTTCTAATTTCAAAATCTTAACAGGTCTGTATTTGGTTACGAAACCATCGCGGGGGTATAGCTCAGTGGTAGAGCATTCGACTGCAGATCGAGAGGTCCCCGGTTCAAACCCGGGTGCCCCCTAAAATTTTTGCATTTTTTTTACCCTTTTTTTGCTTACTTCGATAATCAAATCGACTAAATCAATGATTTAAACTAACATTTTTACAAAATAAAAAAAAATAATAAAAATTTAAGAAACACGCTAGTCGAGCTGGATTTTCTTCACTTTTTTCATAATAATTTATTGTGTCAGTGGTAAATAACAAGCACATACAATTTAATAATATTATTAATACGACCTCGTGCCTATATCATTTTTTTTCTCGAATATATTGTTAAACAATACTGTAAAACAATCATTTATATGCATTATACAACAATAGTTGTACGAACAGTTATTAATAATAATAATAATATTGTATTTTGATAATTGATCTATCAAAACACATTGCCGTGTTTCTATTATAAAGAATTATCGAAGATCAATAATATTTTAATTATAAATATACATTTTTAATAAGAAGAAAGGTAAAGAAAATACGTAAAACAAAACCACACCTCATGTTAAATTTATTATCGAATCTTTGGGTCAAACTTCAAGATGTTTATTGAATTTTTTGATTTTATAAATAAAAAGATCATTATGAATAGAATAGTAATTTGACGCTTATTCTTTTTTGCCAATTATTGCTCGATGTTTATGTAGTACAATTTTTTTTTTCATGCCCGTTAAATATCTACAAATATAGAAATATTGTATTATAGATACTGGACTAATAACGTATACTAGCTGTGTGGTTTTTAAAGACAACCATAGTAGTTTACAGACATCAATATTATGAGAATTGGGAATTGTAAAAATACTCAAATTTATTAATTATAATATACGAGAACCAATAATTAGGTCGATTGAAAATATTTCTCTTAAATCAATCTAAAAAAAATATAATACGTAATGGAAAAAACCAGAAAGAAAATTATAGGTTTACGGTAAATATTTACAGCACGTCATGGTGTTACCAATTTTATTGTTTTTAATTTTTGCAAACTATGTTTTCTACGAGAAATATTGCTCCGACAACAAGATACTTTTTTGTTGGATTTTTAATCTAGTTAGTGAGCCTTTTTTTATATTTCCCTAAAGTTTTTTTAATAACTGAGCAAAATCGAAAAAAAAATAGCAAAATTTACGAAAATACCTTATGCTTATATTATTTTAAATTTAGTATTTTTATTGTAATTCAGTTAAAAATATTTATATAAACATGAAATGTTAACAGAAAATGTATTTTTACTTTTCCTAGATATGGTAAAATTTTCAAAACATTGAACCTTTTTTGAACTATTTATAGACGTTTTAATTTTGCGAATTTTTTTACGTAATTATTATTTGGTATGTACTCTGTAGATAGAATTATTAGACTAAGTAGAAATGTTTGACAATTTAACAGGAGGTTCATTATAAGTCGTACTTGGTGGTCAAAAAAAAAAAAAAACACAATAATAACAAATAAAATGTAATGAAGTATTTTTGGTTTTTTAAAGAGTTTATTATCAAATTTTGGTAAAAATACTTAAAAATTACGGGCTTTAAAAACACGTATAAACAAATTTCGCTTTGAACCGTTTTTCTTTAGCAATTGTTTATCGTTACTTATAGATATAAATTAAATATGTTTATGTAACTTATTTTTTCAACTTCCCACCAAGAAAAGAGATATCCCCATTTCCAAAATGAGCTCTTTTTTTTATATTTTTAACATAAATTCGAACTTAAAACACTTATATAAATAAAACTGAATTACGAATTTTTATTTTTTTCCTCACTTAATACAATAACAGTACCTATACACAAAATACCGTTGTTTTAAGATTTCTGATCAAAATCAAAACTTTAAACACACACAAATAGTATATACTTTTAATCAAATTGTTTATAGATTATCAATATTTTTATGTCTTAAAAAAATCAATGATAAACCTTGCGTCATATTTTCGAGCATTTTGGTAAGCCAAAATTAGGCACCAAATTTATCTACATTAAAATTGTTTAGCAATAGTGTACTTGGTCTTTACTCTTATCAAATAATAAAACTTACTAAAATGTATTGTTTAAGAGTTTTTTTTTAGGGAATTTCAATAAGTTTTTTCGCATACGTATAATACGCGCATTCTTGTGGATATAATATTATAATGGCGTTCTGTACTTCAACGCGAAAATTGATAATAGATGGCGCAACATATCATATACAAAAATATTATTTTACCAATAATAGTAATAACATTCATAATATTATCTATCTATCTAATATTATCTATTACAAAAACACTTTATCAGATGTAATAGATACTATAATAATATATTAATATAACTAATTATGGTATTTGAGTCTTGAATACTGTAACATTTAATTTTAAAATATTGATAATATTTAAAGATCTTTTAAATATTTTGATTAAATAGGAAAATATAACATCGAGTCTTTATGAATCGTGATATCTAATCGCGTAACTATATGTTTATATGAAAATGTAAACCTAATATTTAAATTTTAATAGGTTACCGGATACAATATACAAAAATTCAAAATTTCTAACAGAAATTTTGGTCTAATTTTTAAGTGTAACACTTTTTCTGAAAGGAAATTTTATCTGGGTGGTCCTTAAGAGTGGCAATTTTTTGATATGCCTAGAGGGTTTCATAATAAATGAGAACATTTACAAATTGTATTATTTTCAAATCGTATATCGACCTTTCAAAACATGTATAACTGAACTTCGGTCAGAATCGTTTTTACTTAGTAATGATAAATCATTATACATATGCATACATATATGCATTGAATTTACCCTTTTATATTAAAATTATATATTATCAATTTATGATAGCTGGTTACCTTGGTGACACGGATGAAATTAAATAACAGTGCTGATAATGGGGACGGTTATGCCACTGTTTTAGGGGAAGTTGAAAAGATAGAGTATATGTAAAGTTATTTAAATTATATCCGTAAGCAAAGACGGTTTTTCCTAATTATTATGAAAACTACTTGAAAAATCGAAAAATAACTTTTTAAATGGACAGGAGAAAAGAATAACATACGTTAAGAAGACTTTATACTCACATGCGCTGTCTCAGTCCATCGAACGGGTAACATATCAAAATTTACCTTACACAGATTGCATAGAACTCCCTGAATTTTGGTTTTAATGTAAAAGCATTTATAATAAAATTGAAAGAGGAAAATAATCCAAAGGGCAAGACGATGCGTTTCAAAAATGGGGGCAGATACTTTTCCCATGTATTATTGATTGTTTTTATTACGGGGGGGAGGGGGAATATATTTCATAGTTACAATAATTTCAATAAACGATACAGGAATTACCGGGAATTAGGTTATATTTGTGAAACGTAACATATATTAATATAAAAAAATAGGACATTTTTATTTAATTACATGTAATATTACAATGCATGTTATAAATTTATAATACAAAGATAACCTCTGGTATACTTATTTCCTGATAAATATGCAACAGCCAACTGTGCAAGCCCGCATAAGCGATCGTAGTGGTTCTCGACGTTTTTCCCGAACATTAATTTTTCCGAATGGTGTATTTCCTTTTCCGAATGATAATAATTTTGTTTTTACTTTATTATAGTTAGTTAGACATAATTAAAGTTTTAAAATTGAAATATAAACATAAAGTTAAAATGTGGAAGAAAAATTAAAAAAATACGAAAATTATTTACATAGTCTTAGTTTAGTAGTCTAGGTAGTCTTAGTTGAAAAAAAAAATGAAATCAACGAAAAAAAAATATGGCAACAGTTCAATATTTGAAATATAAAACAAACTGCATTTTTATTTGTTTTTTCTACCATATTCGGAAATATATTATTCGGGAATAAACCAGTCGGGAAAAATAACATTTGGGCCAAAGGTTCGTGAAATATGGTTTCGGGAGAATACTATGCCAACTCAAGCCCAGCTTATAGAAGGTATGCATCTATACAAAATGTTTTGAGTTAACTCCAATACTAAATACCAGAAGCTTTGACCCAGAAGTTCGACTATAGATAACAAAAATATTTCAATATCTATATGGGTTTGACCTGCATAAAATGTCAACGTTCATCCGTGCTTGTGTCGAACAAGTTCAGTCGAACTAGAGTAAAACTTCTGAAGTTAACGTAGCAATAAGAAAATAAGAGAAAACACAAAAATAATTAGCGAAAGTGTTATTGAAAACATATACCTACATAAACGACAGGACTTGGTGCACGTTTCTGCATAAACGATTGACATTATAAAATGTGGAACTAAAATGGATCTCCTCTTTGTAATCTAAGTTTCCCAATTTTCACAAACGATAAGTTTAATATTAATCTCGACCATTTATTTTAATTAATTGCGACATTCGACCGGAAATTTCAATTTCGTGGATTATTTGGTCCAACGTTGAACGGTGATCGGGGGATGTTCAGCGAAGGGTCTGAACCGAGCAAATTGCCAGGACCGTGCAGAATGCTGTTACGGTTGAACCACCGGTCGATGGTAGGTTCGACATTGATTAAAATTGTTCTGGCCATCCACTGGTAACAAAAGTCCATGCCGCCGCTGAAGCCCAGCCATAGCACGACCGGGATTTTGACGACATTGTAATTGGGCATTAAGGACCTGCCCGCGACGTCGATCCCCCGGAACGTTATGTACGCGATCCAGTACTGGAATATCTGTTGGTTTTTCTCTAAATTGCCTTGGTTTTTGGCGGTAGCTTTAAGCTGCTTGTATGTGTTGTAGGCCGGTACCAAACATAACACGCCGATTTCGAGGATATCCGCTAATACTAGCATGATTACTTAACAATAAAAGTTTTATAAAAGTATAAAAGTGTGCTGGTCAATTAAATCGTTTGTTCTTTTGTGTTATATGATTATATTATATATTGTTATATTTTAACAATAAAAACATTAAGACGAATTCGCCCATGGAAACGGTATAGTTATGGGTGTTCTGAAAGTTATTTGTTCTGGAGTTTTGTTCACCTTTACAGCCTATTCCGTGCAAACTATGTTTTAGATTTTGAGTACAGCATAAGAAGCTATTAATTTTAATGGAATTTGTGTTTTTAGATACTGAGTGTAGCGAAGAATATATTGGTTTTACAAATATGTTTAAGTATTTTATTATTTTTATATTGTCAACAAATTTCAACCAAAAATCTTGATTTTATATGTAAGTATATGGCACCTTTTCTGAAAGAAAATATTGTCTAGATGGTACATACTTGTATATATATATATATAATGGTACATATATACAAATAGTAGAAGATCATTTTTTGATATTCCAAGCGGTTTTAATAATGATTGGAAAAACCAAGAAAACTGAACAAATTTACGAAATGTATTATTTTAAATTTCGTATTTTATGACTCAATTGAAAATATTTGTAGAGCTTTGAAATTTGAACAAAAAATCTATGTTTGTCTTTCCAAGACATTGTTATGAACCCCTTAGTATATACCCCTTATGAATATAGTATAAGCGTATATTCAGTGGCGTGCCTAAGAATTTTTAATGGGAGAGTATGTAACAAATAAAAATCCTGAAAAAAGAGTAAAATCGTCTTCGTTACCCAACTCGACTATGGGAATTGGTAATTTAAAAGCCGGATCCTAAAAAAAAGCCAATTTATAATCAATACATGAAGTTTTTTTTTCGAAAATCGGCCGAAATTTATGAGTTTCGATATTAGAATACTCATATTTTGTTGTATTTTTAAGTCAATGGGGGAAGGATGTATCCCTTAATCTCCCCCATTCTGGGTACGTCACTGCATATATAATATTATATTATTTTATAAGAGGATATGATTGTAATCTGTCAATAATGCCAGGTGTGTATAAGCGGTTATACATTATTTATATTAACTACTTCAAGAAAAAAACAATTTCAAAACAATTGTAATAAATACACTAAAAATAAATAACAACGCTAGCGAATAATTATACGGCACACCGGGGAGGGGGGGGGGAAACGAAAGCCCCCTTATCGTTCCAACCTGCAGGTATGCAGCTTCAAGATTATTTAAGAGTACCTGAGCTCAACGTGGAAACAAGACGAAGATAGAATTTCGCGATAAACGTGATCCTTAAACGTAATAAACTAATAATATACCTCGAGACACATAATGTAACGGAAACAAAATAAAAACGTAAATATCGGTGAAACGCATAGATATTAAAGATATGAATGGGCCTATGGATATGGATGGGTGTATACCTTACACACGAATCGATGTACGATAGAAGAGAACACTGGTTACCAAAATGGTTAGGAGTGGTTCGAATTTGGTTGACTGATAGTTGATAATGATACACGATAATAATTGAGTTATCTTTAATTATGAAAAGTCATATACACATTACACAATAATATTTAATTATTATTATAATTTGCTTATATCTACTAACATATGGAATGACACATTTTTATTTATTTTATAAGAATTAATACCGGCATCCTAGTTTTAATTGATTTTCTTTAGGACCCGATGAAGTGACGCGGTTAAAAAAAATAAATAATGTTAAATATAGTAAAATATTACATAACTACCTATTAAAAATTGTCTATAATATCATTTATTAACAAGTTTACTGCCATGAGTACCATAATTGGTACTCGCGTGATTTGTATTATAGGTCTTCATATTTTAATCATATTTGTTTTACGCGCTTTGAGTACCAATTCTGGTACTCACACCGTCTGACTCTCGGGCTTTGAGGGTCAATTTTGGTACTCGCTATTTTTCGTGATTACATCATTGAGAACCATTTCTGATGCTCAATTCGTTTATTGGAATAGAAAGAGGAACAATTTCTAAGCTGAATAGTGCAAACAGCGCTCAAATTTAATGTTTTGTTTTTTTTTTTTTTAATAAAAATGTAATTATTAAAAAAAAAAAATTATAAAACTCGTATTATTATTATACGAGTACTCATTAACCTTTTTTAGTAAAAATATCAATAAATTAAACATAAATATATTAAATACAACTTAAAAACTAATAATGTGATTCTTAAAATTATTTATTTTTTATGTTGAATGTATTTTAAAAAAACAATCCAAACAGAAATGTTTCGAACAACCTGGACACAATGTTTGTACTTTACGTGTAATTTTTTGCGAGTGATTCCTTCCACCTTGTTGAACCATTTCGAAATAAAAATTTGAACATCTACCGAAAATTAGAATTAACAAGTTTATGAATTTCTTTTTCATTGGGTACAAGTATCATTGATATGTTGGCTTTCGTTATTAAAGCTTGAACTATATTCTCTCTAAATTCTGGCACACTCATTTTATGACCAGTCACAATAGTAAATAATGTTAATGCATTTAATAGACTAGTATTTAGCAGAATTAGTAGTCTACGGCTCAATATTTGCACAAACTAAAAAAAATATTATAAACTAAGCAATATCTAAAAAAGCAAAGTCTGGATCTGCATCACCATCATCAAATTCAGAAAACTCATCTGATGACCAAAGAGCTTCAACAGTTTCGTCGTCATTCATTGTAATAAATACGGTCAAAACGCAACGACAAGTCAAATGAAATTGAACGTATAATTGAATAATATGATACAATAGGCATTGAGTACCAAACATGGTATTCACTCCAAATCGGTTTATTTTTCTTTTAAATATTATTAAAACGATACAAATAAACAATAACGATAAGAATTTTTTTATGAAATATGATGAAAAAACCCATGGCCCATGTTATAATGTCCAAAAATACAACGGCGTACGTGACAAACATGGTGAGCACCTATTCTGGTACTCATAGCGTATGAGGACAGCTCTATAAAAATACCGTGGCAGTCAACTTGTCAAAGCATAAAGACATATTGATTGTCAGCTGTGAATCTACGGTCCATAGTGATAACTGATAACCACTGTTGGTAACCACCGTTGTGTATGGCCGCACCGGCAATGGTAACTATGGCTTTCTATTCATAACAATCGTGAATACAATATAGGACGGTCCCATCCGTATCTCATTAATATCTACGGTGAAACGGCCGCATAGATTGTCTGTGTTTTCGGAGATATTATTATTATTATTGCTTAACAAGCGATCTCGCCGCACGTGCGTTCGTGTGTTGCGCGTTAATGTTAATAGCAAGGGTGTTTGCGTATTGTGTTTACGGCGGCGGCGGCGGGCGCATAATATTTTGTCGAACAAAAGTCGTCGAACATAATAATAAAAAATAATAAAACTCGTGTCGTCGAGCGCTTTGTCGCGAGCACGGTTCGGCTGCGTATAATGGTATCGTCGCGGCTGCCGCCCCGCGCCCCGGCTCCCGGGGCCGCGGCGCGTCGCGAATAACAATAAATAAACAATACGAAATCGCGGCGCGGAGGTGGTCTTTTGCGCGCGCGCCCCCAACCGCACGGCGACGATGGGCGTGGGGGGAGGGGGGCCACGGGAACGGGGGTCGGGGCGACTCTCGGCGCACGTCCGTCGGCCGCGCACACGGTGTGCACGCGGTGTACGGCGGCGTATCGCGCGCGGAGGCGACGGCCGGCGGCCGCGGTGACTGCGCGACCCTTAAACGCGCGCGGCGGGGACGACAAAAAAAAAAAACTACAGACGCTCCGGCGGTGGTCTTAGCGGGGGCCCCCGGATGTGCCGGTGTACGCGTGTATATATACATAAATATTATGTACACTATACGCGTCGGGCGGGCACGTGTTGGCCCACATAAAATAATATAATACTTTTGTTATTACGGAATAATATACCGGCGCGCAGGAAACGTTTTAACGCACCCGTGATGGAAAAAAAAAAAAAAACAAAAAAAAACAAAAAAATAACGCTATCGCTAACGGGGCGCACGCGTGTGTGTGCGTATTCGCGTGCGGTACGCGCGACGACCACCCCGGCGGCGACGGCGGCGGTGTGCCGGGCGAGAAACTTGCGCCGCTATTGTATTTATACTGTTTCGTTGATAATAAAACGTAACGCGCACTATTACACCGTCGCGACGGACGCGGTCAATTTATCGGCGTCGTCGGGGTGCCGCAATAAGGTACGACGACCGACGGCGCGATAATAAAAAGATACGCCGCGTACTGTCCCTCGTATAGCGGCGAGCGCGCACTACGACCGGTGGCGTGACTGGAACCCGCTAAGGCCCGCGGCGAAACGTTGTATAAAGGCCCCAAATGCCTTATACGATAAGCGAGAAAAAATAAAAAGGCTATTCAAAAAGACCCCCCCCCCTCACAATGTGTCCGTTAACGCCTTTAGCTCTGGCCAAGGCCGCTGCTAATAAGGCGCGGGCCCGTGGCGTTCGGCGCCCACATTGCCCACTCAGTATATTTACGCCACTGACTTGTCAAAAACGAGATCACGACGCGGTATCGATACTAGATTGGTTTATTAGATTATACTTCACCGACTCCAAATCCAATAATAATAATATCAGTGGTAGGTCTATTATAATGGTCAGTATGACTGCAATATTATTGTCATAAAAAAAAAAGTCCTCGATAGTCATGTTATATATTTTCATAACAAAAGGATGAATGTGCTTTGGGATTTTTGGTCAACAAATTGTGTTTTTATTGCCTATGCGACTTGCCTGACTATCAAATTACCCTGTGTTTTTAATACCTAAATCAAAACAAATTTCAAATAAATAATTATTTGTAATTCTACAAAAAGACCAAAAATATTGTACCTCGACAATGTTAATTTAGATAGTATTCTACAAAATTGTCCGGTTCCTAATACGTTTTATTAATAAGCGACAGCAAAAAAAAAAATAAAAACAAAAAAAT